ACGTAGAATTGATTTTATAAAAGAAAAAGGGGGGGGGGGGGGGGGGACTGGACATAACTAGAAAATCTAAATTAGAAATTGGTAATTTAAGATACCCTATGGATATAATGAAGCTTCATGCAGTGATTATTAGGCGGCCTTAAACTGTGCAATTTAAAACTCAGCACGAGACAGACCGTGTTAATCACAGAGGAGCGAGATGGGGGCCCGAAACGAAAAAGACAGTGACATAACACAGGCCAAAGTTATACATGCATAGGTGTGTAAAAGTGCTAAAATACATTTTTAGCGGATATATATATATATTTAAAAAAAGGAAGATGCAGCAGTGGTTCAAGTAAAAGGATGCAAGTGAGGGGCAGTCGCCTGAACACACACCTTAGCGTGGCCAACATCCCCTGGCTAACACACATGATGAAAGACAGTTTAAAGGGGTTAAATATCATGACTGATGAGCAAAGTGCACATGAATGTAGTTGCTCACTCATTCATACCAAAGTACAGAAGAAAAAAAGGGTCAAAAAAATACACCCATACATGTTAACATGGTCACAGTAAGAAAATCAGGGCACAAAATGATGACTGGGAGAGGTCACTGTGGCCAATGAGGTACTTTACCTTTAATTCACTCCCATAAAATCAAGCTGCATTACGGGTTCAAAAACAAATGAAGATGCAAAAGCATAATATGAAAGGACACAAGAGAGTGGGCCATAAAACCACTGCACTTGCTGTTGGTTTTAGAGCTTGTAAGGTGAATGTTAAATCTGTAGAAACCCTTAGTAGGCATGTTAACAAATGTAGTTACTGCCAAACACTTTTTTTCATTCTTTCACTATTTAAAATTTTAAATGGATAGTTCATTCAAAAATTAACATTTTGTTATCATTTACTCATGTCATTTTAAACCTGTATGACTTTCTTCTGTCGGATATTTTGAAGAGTGTTCAACTGTTTTTGTCCATATAATGAAAGTCAGTGGGGTCCAAAACAACAATGAACCCCTCTGACCTTCATTATATGGACAAAAAACACTTCAGACATTCTAAAGTATCTTCTTTTGTGTTCCACAGAAAAAAGCGAGTCATACCGGTTTGGAAAAGCATGAGGGTGAGTAAGTACAGACAATTTTTATCCTTTTAAGGAGGTTGTGTAAGCTAATTTGCTCCGTTGAGTTTTGTGCTAGATTACTGGGTTATTACTCAGTAATCTGATGCACTGTGAACAATGAGGGTGACAGCATGTCAGCTTGAATGATTAGTGGGGGGGGTTTTAGCTGCACATGCAGAGGAGATTATCAAATACATTCATTTTACCGTCGCTGATGTCAAAGATCTGGGATGGGAGGATAAAGGTGCAGGAGAGGAGGGTGATGAGGACAAAATAAGGACGAACATAAAGGGAGAACAAACCTCAGTGGCCTCACATGTGTACAACATGAACAAGACAAGATTTGAAGTGTTTTGAAGATAATAATCACACAGACCTGCTCCATCATTTGCAACATCAAGCCTCTATCATCTACTGTGCCAACACAACTATTTCTGAGGGCTGCAAATTATTAATTTTGAAGACATGACCAAAAAAAAAACACTCCAAGGCCCACAGAAACAGGGTGTTTTCATATGCTGACATGGTCTACTGCTTTTATGAAATCGATATTGAAAAATGATGGAGAGCCTCAAAAACATGCCAGAGTCCAATTTGTATAATATATTAAAGTGAATTTCATCAGATTCAATAGTTGTAAAGGTCATTTTACACAGTATGTGATCAGACTGAGATCTTGTCACCACTAAGGCAGTGTTAAATGTTGTATGCCAGTGTAATGCTACTGCTTCAGCTCAATGCTAATGTTCTTGAATTAGGTGATAACTGCGAATACCATATTCTGAGTTCCAGTGAGAGAAAAATAAAATTAACTAAATAAAAATGGCATTTTCTTCTCCATGTAATATTTTATATTCTTCTAGATTTTGGTAAATTACTGGTGAAAAAGTTATAACGCATCGTGGTACTCTTGTGAATGGCAGCCGAGACTGACATGGAAGAGAAGAAATTGTTGAATAAAGTTTTTTATTTGCGCACAAAAAGTATTCTCGTAGTTTCATGACATTACGGTTAAACCACTGATGTCACATGAACAATATTAATGATGTCTTTACTACCTTTCTGGGCCTTGAATGTGGTAGTTAATGTGTTGCTTTCTATGGAGGGTCAGAAAGCTCTTGGATGTAATCAAACATTTCTTAATTGAATTGTGTTCCGCAGATGAACGAAGGTCTTGCGGGTTTGGAACGACATGAGGGTGAATAATTGATGACAGAATTTTCATTTTTGGGCGAACAATCCCTTTAAATTTCTTTTAAAAACATTTTCAAAAATCTTTCAGACCCAACTTTTAAGGTAGGGTAAATCCCTTCTTACTGGTCAATGATGTTGTGAAAATACAAAATTGTTTACTCCTGCGTGGTGGTACTGAACATCTGCTGCCTCATACCATTTTGAGGTTTTATATAAATGTTCTGTTTTTGAAATACAAAACTCAAGCTCTCCAAGTCAAAACACTTCAAATTCACTATGATAGTGGACACAGATAAGAATGGAGGAGTGATATTGTCACAGAGGATCCCTCACCTGACTTGCGGACTGTTCCTGGTGTGTTGCTCCCTCCTCCTGTAGGTTGGCCGCCCGGGCCGGGTGAGCCTGCTTTCTTAGTCAACAGACTGTTGAAGAAGTTAGCCAGCACACCCTCACTCGTCTGACCTCCTGCCACAAGAAATGACAATAATTAGCACAACCATGCAAGCTGAAACTCTAGCAGATACTAGCCTAAACTAGATTCAGGTTGCTACAAAACAGAAACATCGACCGAGCCCTAAGCTGGAATTAAAAACGTGTGTAAAGGAAAAAGTCGAAATGAAAGTCTGAAAGAAGTTCAGCAAAGAAACAAGCTTTAATCCCAACAAGCTCTCCTAAACTCCTCCAAACATGACAGCAATTTTCCTATGATTTGAACCTAAAAGAGTAAAGTCCTTCTTATCTGCATCCTGAAACAATCTCTGGAGACACTAAAAGTGTATTCACGATCACTGCTGCCCAAAACAAACAAGATTTTCACCCATAAGTCTAGACACAAGCTTTGAGGATGGTATATCATGTTGAAAGTCACATTCTTCCCAAGAAGACAGGGTGGTGAAAATCATGAAACCAGATCCAGAGACTGGATGAATAAATTCCCAAGAACTAGAAAGGTGTGACTCCAAAAGCTGTTGCTCCCAATAGTTGGAAAAATGCAGCCAAGGAGAGAAACTACAGGACGGAATGCAGAGACCGAGAAAGATGGAGAGGAACTGGAGGCATGCATCCTAAATATGGCACACTCTTACACACCTTTCATGTTGGGATCAATCTTCTTGGTACCTGATTGCATGGGCATGACGTTTGCCACGTTAGCCGCCGCCGAACGGTTGGTCGTCCTTGGTGAGCCGGTGGGAGCTCTGTTTGTTGGGTCCTGTTACAGACACATAAAGATATGTTTTAGGATTATAAAATGTAATAAAATAACAAACAAAAAAATAAATAGTATGAGAGGACGAGTAAAAAAAAGACCAAATCTGAATGTTAAAAATTAAAACAAATAAATCGGCTTGGGTAAAAGTGTCTGTTAAATGAACACATGTAAATGCAAATGTCTTGTAGCAGGAAAAGTCTTTATCCAAAACATGATTCAACCGAGTAATGCTGTGGGCTGAAATGTAAATGGAGGGCATGTAAAACACTCACCACTGGTCTTCCTGCAGTGACTGGAGGCTGTTTAGATAACAGAGACTGAGAGCAGGGCAAAAACAGAACAGAAATAATTCAGCGATTATTTCTCAAATATTCTGGCAATGATTGGTTTATCAAACAAGTTTCATGGATTATTAAAAACCCTCTCAGGGTACTAGACTTACAAATACAGGGCTTGACAGCGAGAGCATGTCAGTCACATTTGAGACTAAAAATATTTGTGCGCAAACTATAAAATATATTTAAAAGGAGCAAATTTAAGGCATCTTAAATTGTATAACAAACATCTTAATTTAAAAGGTCTTACATTTGGGCAAAGAAAAGCAGGAAAAAGGAAACAACCTGTTATTATTAAACTTCAAAAGGCTACGATTTTATTAAATAAATATGTGTGCTGCACATTTCGATGGTGCACATGGTCACACATTCTAAAAGCTCGCCGTTTCAGAGCAGTTTGCAATAAATTAAAACTGCACATTTATGCCGAGCCAATGAAGCTTATGATCAATTTTATATTTCAATTAGAAAAATCTATAAATAGCTAATAAATGTTTACCAAATCAGCATATTATAATGATTTCTGAAGGATCATGTGACACTCAAGCCTAATAATGAGTAATGGTTGCTGAAAAAAAATCAAGAAATTATCCTTTTTGTTGATTATGTTATACAATATTATGCAATTACCTGCAACTTTAGTAGAAATACTTGGTCATCTTCAGCTTGAACTTCCTTCTCATGTACAAACTGGAAAGATGTATCACAAATGAGCAATCACTAGATTATAGATAACTGTATATTGTTTGTTTGTTTGTGTTTAACGCCATTCCAGCTTCTGTGGCTATTTTCATGGCAAGAAATATTATGGCCGAATTCAGCTAACTTGTATATCCAGTGGCAAAGATCGAATCAAGCGTGAACTCTTACCTTTCTAATTGGAGGTTTCACTATTACATCTTCAAAATTGTCCTCTGCTTTTACTGTCTGGAAATTTTCATGCAGGATGGCGATCTTTTTTTCATTGTCCCATCCTGATGGACTGAAAATGAAACACAGATTATATGAACACATGTACCATTAAAGAAACATTTGATGCAATAAACCCATTTTTACTACATTACCCATTTGTATTTAATTAGCTTGTAATAAAAGTTGCATTTATTTCACATTACAAAGATTACGAACAATATGCAATTGATTTTCATTTTATGTTTTGATTTTCATTTCAGACTCCTTATGTGAGTCACTTACATAAACACAGAGTCTTTCTCCACCACCTGAGCTGGGATGTTGAAGGGAAAGCCATATAACCTGTGAACAAGGTATTTATATAACAAGTCTAGATTTTTGTTCTCCTTCATGGATGTGTAAAGTAGCGCTGCTCCATCTGAAAGGTCACTTGTGAAGGAAAAGAACAAGGTGAGGTTACATTTAAGCATGGAACATGCGAGCTCTTCACTTCGGCGATTTTTGGAAAGCAGCCATTATGATGGGTCAGCAGATAATATTCCCACATTCCACTGTTGAGCAAACAAGATTCAATACATCTACCTGTGTAGCCTGTATTCAGATGCACAAAAAATTACTCTTGACATTTAAAGATAAAACTGAACATGAAATTAACCTGGTGTCCAGATGACTAAAATGTGCAGGGTGAACTATATTCATCATTACAGCTTTGGTTCAGACATGCTGATGTGTAAGGATACACTGCAAGCAGAAACGTCGAATGTGAGACTGGATGAAGTCTAAGTGCTCGTCTTTATAATCGTGCTCCTTCTCCAAAGTGCTGATCGCATCACACTACACAGAGAGAGAATTAAGAAAGGGAGACTCCATTAACGTACTACTACATCCTTGCTTTGTAACTTGATATATTTGGGCCTTTTAGTGAAAGCAAAAGCAGAACCGACTTGGTAAACAATGACCAGAAATGGCAAGTTTATCATATTCATTGAAATATGTGGGATCCAACAGTCTGAGACGATTCAAAATCAAGTTTACATCTAGAAATAAACTGCTTTGAAAATCTGGAAATTTAAAACAAAAATTAAGTATAGAAAATATATATTCAAACCCACCAGTCAAATTTGTGGCATGTGAACTGCATTGTACAAAAGATGTTAAAAGATGGTGATCAGATGTTAACGTTTGACTTAAACTGTTATGCTAATATAAATACAGAACCGTTCAAAATGTTGGAGTCAGTAAGTTTTTTTCCCCTACAAAATTAATACTTTTTTTCAGCAAGCAAGCATTAAATTGGTTTGAATTTTATTTTCCACAAACATTAAGCAGCACTACTATTTATAACATCGATTAAAAAAAAATTATTAGAATTAGAATGACTTCTGACATTTACATTTTAAAATATATCGAAATATAAAACTGCTTAAAACTGTAATAATTTTTCACTATATTAAAGTAGGTAATATTTTACTGTATTTTTAGTCAAATAAATGCAGCCTTCATGAGTATATATGACTTCGTTCAAAACATTTTTTAAAAATCATACTGACCCCAAACTGTTGAACGGTAGTGTGTAAATGCATGCTCCATTGTAGCTGCTCTTTTAAATACAAGTCCCACGAAGTTCGAGCAGGTGTACCTTAGTGCAGACCACCACTATAGGCAGGCCCAGGTTGTGTGTGAGTGTATTGTCTCCCAGCGGCAGCAGGACGCTCTCTTCCTCGGACTCAGGATTCCTTCTCTGGGGCACAGCTTCCAGGTCACTTCCTGGTTCCACGTATTCCTGAAACTGCTTCACCACTGCATACAAACACAGTTACATTCAGAGATATTTACTGTACTAACTGCAAACTCATTCATGCAAGTATAAGAACTGTCATGCATAGCAATATAAAGGACCATCGCAGATCAAAATGCATCACCACACTAGATCATTCCTACAGGGTACTTAGCATGCGAACACGCTCACAATCTAAACACACAGACACACACACAAAGACGCTACTCACATCTGTGCTCCAGCTCTCTCATGGTTTCAGGGGGAACTCTGAGCTTGTCCACAAAATCCCTCACAACGCTGCCCCATTTCTGCAGCGAATCGAGGGCCAGCCAGGGCCGGGACAGATCAACCACAAATAGAACCAGCGAGTCCTCAAGGTTCTCTGTTGATACTGCGAATTTCTGCAGGCCTTTGTGGTACAGGTCCCCATCCAGCACCCATGCATTACACCGTGCATGATCTGACAAAAAGAGTTTGATTAGATTTAGCATGTCTGTATTGAGTTACCTACTGTTGGTCATTAGGCTGCCTCTATACTAAGTATGACAAACGTCACTGATAATTACGCTTGACTGCTTGGGTTGGCAAAACTAATACTTTGAAAACAGTAACCGTATTTATGCTTCAAGTTGACTTAAACAAACATGCTTAATGATGCATTAAAAGTAATAAATTGCAAATTACACTAAATAATCTCAGTGCGCAGTTATGGCATCTTTTCTTATTTACATCCTACACTTTTCCATTTAAATAAAGGACATGACCAATCTACTAAAACATTGCTTCAAAATACTGCAGTTTTAAAAAACGTTCAACGTATTGATTGATTATAGTATATCACAACCACACTGTAAAAAAAAAAATCTGTGACATTTACGTAAAATACCAGCAGCTGTGGTTGCCAGAATTTCACCATAAAAAATATGGTAGCAACATTTTAGGTTTTACAGACTTAACTTAAATTCACAATAAAATACCGTATTTCATTAACTGATGTAATGTTAATAAACCAACATATTGAAGTACTAATATCTGTTTTGAACCATTGTAATGTACTGATAACCACCAAAAACAGGTGATGAGAATGTCACATGATGAACCAAAGCTCATCACAAACAGCTTTTCTACGAGCTGAGGAGGGCAATACTTATATATAGAAGGTGCACAGTGTCATTCACACAAACACTAAACCCCATCATGGTGACACACATGATACTGA